TTTTCTTTTTTTAAAATTAAATAAGACCTTATTTTTTGTCTTAAACCAAAAAATTACAATATTTATAAAGATGAAAAAAAATCTTTGGCTTTTCATTTAACTTTCCAAATTATTAAATCATATTATAGTAAAGATATTGGTGGATAAGAAAAAAAACTTCACTATAACTTGTATCAAAAGAATATCATAATTTTATTGAATTAAAATTTATTGAAAGAATTCTTTTTAATATCAAAAGATTCACTATTTTCATTACTAATTCAATATGATTGTTTAATATTTTTCTTGTTGAAGTGATTTAACAATTAACTTAAATGTAAAATTTTGATGTAGATGTTAAATTTTTAATACAGACATGAAATCTTTGATGTAAACACATGAAATTTTTAATACAGACATGAAATCTTTGATGCAGATGTGAAATTTTTAATTATTTTCTTCTTTTTTAATCTATATTGAACTTTATAATAACTTAATTATTTTATTATTTTATAAAAAAGCATATAAAATACATCAATAATTTATGATACAAAATAAATAAAGATAGTTTATCTAAAGGTATTATTAGAATAAAAGAATTATTAAATTAATTAATAAATAAAATATTTAAATTACAAATTATTTAAATTTATCTATAAATTATATATGTTTGAATAAAAAATATATCTAATCTCTCTTAATAATATGCATAGGTTATTATTGCATAAAAATAAAGAGAAATTTTTGTTATTCCCATAATAATAATCTATAATATAAGCATGCAACTTGTAATTTATATAATAAAAGACATAAGAAAAAAAGACAAAAAATGAATTCAATTTCAAGAAAGAAAGCAAAGCAAAGCAAACTAATCTTAATATAACAGTTCTAATTATCGATACTTCATCTTTCCAGATTAATAGTATTTTCAGTATTTCCAAATTGATAATGATCTTGAAAATCTTGATAAAGTTATAATACAAGTAAAAGAGAGTGCTATATCAAGTGATGAGTATAATAATATTATTAATATACTTTTTTATAGTATGGATGAAGTCAAAATATTCATTATCACTCAATTTTAAAAGGCTAAATTATTTAAAGAATTCATCAAGTTCATATTTAAAATTAAGTTAAATTCTGAACTTTTGGAGATTGTTTTACTTGATCAACAAAATCTAGAATCTAATTTATTTGATCCAGAGAAAATCAAGAATAGTTTTGTTTAACTTATTAAAATTTTCACTTTGCCATTTGAATCTGAATTCAAATATTATTGGAAGATGTGAAAGATATGTTTAAATTTCAAACAAAAGAAATTTATTGAATTTGCTATAGCATATCTTCAATATATATTATAGAATAATTGAGATTAACAAAAATTAGATAATCAATCAATCAAAAAATGAAGTGAAGTTCATACTAACATATAATAATTCTTCTGTGAAGACAAAATTACAATTATTATGAATTCACAATTACAATATATAAATATACAATATAAATATATATATTCATATAAATTTTCATTGTATTATCACATTAAGTTTCCAGAAATAGCAAAAAGATGAATTCAGAAAAATTATAAATATAACTTGCAAAATACAGAATTATATTAATATTTTATTACAAATAAGCTAATTCTTTTATAAAAACACACAAAAAAACAGGTATATTATTAAATATTTGTCTATATTAAACAAAAATATATTATGAATTTTGATAATTAGCTTTTATTATCTAAAATATATCTTAAATAATTTAAATTTATAACTAAAAGTTTCAAAGTTCTCTATTATCTTGATAATAACTTTGATGCAGCAACTATTATAATGTAATAACAAATAAAACATCATTTAGTTGCAACTAGTTGCAACTTATAAAATTTTAGAGTTATAACATGTTGCAATAGATAATAAATAAGTATCATATACTTGTTGTACTATCTCTAGTACAGAAAATATAAATAAAATTGCAGTGAATTCTATATTCAAAATAAATTAAAAACATTTTGAATTATTTGTCATGAATATTAACTGTGATGAATATGGTATGCTAATAATATATTTATATTTTTTAATGTTAAATAATCTAAAAATAGTATATTATGATTCAAGAAATAAAGTCAGCATCCATGTACAAGTTCTTTATAAATTCTTTATTAGTTTTTGGCAGGAAGAATTATTTATTTTATTAGACAAAGATGCAGGAAAAATATTAGTTGTTAGTGAAGCTTGATCATGAATAACAAATTTATAATTATATTATTAATACTTAGAATATGTTATTAATAAATACTTAAAAAACAAAAAGCACTTACTCAAAGGAAAAAGCGTTAAAAACTCACCAGTAATTTAATTTTATCGATTTGTTAAGGATTCCAAGTGGTAGTGTTAGAAACCTATATTCAGACAATGAGATCAAAGAAATCATAAATTTGATCAAACATTATACAAATATACATCTATTAATTTTAATAGAAAAGAATATTTTTTGAAGTTCAATACAAATTTATCATTATTGCATAAAAGAAATATATCAGTTCTGTCACAGTTATAATATTCTTGAATTATAAAGATATCTCTAAATAAACTGATATAACAAAAAGAATTGAAAATTATTTGTTTGCTCAACTTATTTATTAGCAATATCCTTGGCTCGGATTACTATGATTACAAAAAGTTACTGGTGAATATTCAAATACAATTACAAATACAATTACAATAGATCTCATCTTGATTATCTCATCAATATTCTCATTGAGCAGTTGGTACCAGAATTTAATCTCAAATTAATTCAGTATAGTTCAAATTGGTACTTTTTAGCATGATGACAAGCTTTTAAGAAAGATTGAAGTAAGGTTATATTTATAGATATCATATTTGACATAAATGAAAGATATCACATAGATCTAAACAATTGGATGTGCTCATGTTCAGCATATTTACACAGTTGTTATTAGCTCTGCAAGCATTTGGTTACAAAAAAAATGATAACTATTTTTTGCCAACCTTTGCTAAAACAATACGATGACATGACTATTCATTACTTGTTTTTGATGTTAACAAGACACCAGCAATTTTTCAAGAAAATAATTCTTGGAGTATATATAATATAGCTGTTGTGAAAGAGAATTTTGCAGAGGAGAATGTTGCAGAAAAAAATGTAGCAAAGGAGAATGTTGTGGAGGAAAATCCTATTATAGAAAGTTCCAATTCAAGTAATCCACAAGATATATTAGCAATAACATGACAAAATGTGATGGAAGAGAGACATGAAAATTATATTCGATATACAAAGAAGTTTGAAGTAGCATTAGAACTATATAAAAAGAGAAATGAATAATGACAAATTTTGATAGCTTGGTGGAATCACTTATGTGAGCGGTTGGTGAGTCTCTACTAGCTCACAAACAGCAGGGTACTTGGTCAAAGAATGGAAAGCTTGCCTTTTGGTTGCATTAATTATAGTTTGCTTAAGCTATAATTATTTCTTTATGTAATAATTGTTCAGTAATTAAAACTTTATATTTTTAATTCACTGTAATAATTTGGAAAGTTAAACGAAAAGCCAAAGATTTTTTCCATCTTCATGAATATTGTAATTTCTTGGTTTAAGACAAAAGATAAGATCTCGTTCGATTTTAGGAAAAGGAAAAGAAAAAGAAAAATGACTTGGTAAGGTAACGGTAACGGTAATAGACAAATACTATATATAGTACAACGATTTTTTGGCAAAGATCTGCAATGTATCGGATGGTTGGTATCGGGCTGGAATCGGATCAGAATCACATGACCCGACTTTTTTTCGCCATGGCTAGGATACTAAATAAAATTATTACAGTCAACACGAAAAGTAATAACGAACATGTTTTTCGCCTATAACTTAATAAAAAATTCACGAAAATTTGGCATTATATTCTTTAGGATGACAGAAACAAAATTTTCTAAGGTCACAAAGCATGTTATCATAGTAATATTTTGTGGAATCATGTGTTAAAGGTGGCGGGCTGGGGGCTACCTGGTTAAAGTGCTATAAAAAATTATTTAACAATATTTTTTATAAGCAAATGTGAAAAAATTTTATAGAAATATATTTAAAAATATATCTGCAATTTTAAAAAAAAATTAGTTGATATTTATTGAATATATACTAGTTAATTGTGATAAATTTCATAATAAACTATAATAAAAATAATATTTTTATTATATTTTACTATATTTTACTATATTTTATTATGAAATTTATCAAAATTAAGCCTTTTTTTGACTGGCATTTATTCAATAAATATCAACTAAAAATTTTTTTAAATTACAAATATATTTTCTATATCTTTAAATATATTTATTTTCATACTTGCTTATAAAAAATATTTATAAATAATTTTTTATAGCTCTTTAACTAGGGTAGCTCCCGGGCCCGCCATTTTTGACACGTAATTCCGCAAAATATTACTATGTTAACATATTTTGTGACCTTAGAAAAATTTGTTTCTGTCATTCTAAAGAATATAATGTCAAATATTTACATATTTGAGTAATTCCTTGTTAAGATATTGATGAATTACGGCGAAAAACATGATCGCTATTACTTTCCGTGTTGACTGTATTTAATATTAATAATTTTATTATTATTAAATATTTATTTTAAATAAAAATATTATATTTTATCAAAAAAAATAAAGTATCATGTTTTGGAAAAACAGATAGAGCTTATTGCTAGTAATATACAATTGCAATGAATACTATATATAAACTAAAATATTTAAATAATTAAAGCTAAATTATCAGATATACAAAGAAACCTCTCTAAGTACACCCCTCTTGGAATCATATTAAAAAAAGATAGTATACGTTTAAAAAGAGTGTGCATTTATAGAAAGTAAATAATTAAAGATCTTATAAGTTTGGAACTGAGCCATAACGTGCATATAGAGAGAGTATATAGTATATGGATTTATAGAGGTGCATTTAGGAAGGGCTCTCTATAATAACTTATAAAAAACTTCAAAGTGAACAATTTTAAGGTAAATTTTTGGTATTATTAGCTATAAGTAAAAATTTATTAAAATTATTATACAAAAAATTTAAGATGAAAATATTTCAGATATAGTGCTTACCAGATGCAAACAAATCATCACTGTGTACGGTCGTAGCATAGCTAATAAATCTGCTTGTATAAATTGCTTCTGGGTGAATTTCTTGTCTTAACGTTAATGTGTTATGATTATGTCGATTGCTATCTAAAGATGCATTTTTTTCATTTTCATCAATATCATTTTCTATCCATTTTGAACCAAAACGCCGTGTTTTTTTGATTTCTTTAAGAAGTTGATCAATGTTAGGTCTTTGAGATGGATCGTCATGCCAACATCTTTCCATCAAATTCTTCCAACATCTTGGTGTTCCGATAGCAATTTTTGGTCTTAAGCCATTAATAATGATGTCTAATTGAAGATTGCCATCATGAGGACGGTCACCAAATGGATATTCAACACCAGAAGCAATTTCGGCCATAATAATCCCAATTGAGTAAATATCTGATGCTTGTGTATGTGGTTGACCATTTAATACTTCAGGTGCCATATAAGGCATTACACCATATGTTCCTTTTGACAAATCAGCTTCTTCAACAGGCCGCGATAGTACTAGATCAGTTATATAACTTTCGAGAACTAGTTTCCCTTTAAGCACATTTCCACTATGAAGGTCACGATGAATATAGTTTTTAGAGTGTATAAGCTGTAGATTTTCAATTATGCCTTCCAATAGTTGCACTCGTCAAACCAATTTAAATTTTTATTTTGTAAATATTGTCGAATATTGCCTTTCTCTGCATACTTCAATACTAAAACAAATTGATTTTTTTCTGGATGAAATGAAATACCATGGCATATTATTCCCTTTTTACTTTTTCCAATGCATTGATAGTGAGCATAAACCTATAATTGTTAGATTATTAGATTATTCGATATAAAAATAAATTAAACTATGATAATTTTCTTACTTCGTTTATAAATTCTTTAGAAATATTTTTTGAATTCTTTAAGCATTTTAAGGCAACTTTTCGAGTACTTGATATATGCCAAGGGTGATTTTTCCAAATTGCTGAATATACTTCTGCAAATCCTCCTTTTGCCAAATATTCAATAGCAGAAAACTCGTTAAAATCAATCCATTCTAAATCATTAACACGTTGTTCTACTTCCCAAATGAATTTGTCTATCTCGTAATTTCTGGTTCTTTTTTTCACGTCGTCGTCAATTTCGTTAGAATGCCAATATTGCTCTTCAAAAAATGCACCATTATCGTTATTGCGTTCAATACAAAGGCCAATGCCAGTTGGATTGCAAGTTTTGCACAAAATATTTTTCAAACGAATATTTGTCGAAATGCATAGCAAACAGGAAAAACTAATATCTTTTTTTATATTTTTGCATCCATCCTTCAAACATTGATATCCAATGAAGCCTTTTTCGTTGCAAGTAAAGCAAATTTTTGAATATTGCAAGTCTTTTAAAGCGATCATGGTGTTTTTGATGGGATAATTTCTATCAAGCAAGGTGATTTCATCATTTGGCGGAAATTGAATTATCAATTCATTTTTCCATTTTCCTGAAAAAACTGCATCGAATCCTCCTATTTTTTGTCGAAGAATTCTTTAAAATCGATCCATTCAAATAAATATCCATATGTTCTTGTTTCCCATACAAATTCATCTATCTCGTGATTTCCGGTTCTTATTTTTACTTCATTAGTGTGCCAAAACGCTCAATCCATGCAAAGGCTAATGCCAGTTGGATTGCAAGTTTTGCACAAAATATTTTTCAAACGAATACTTGTTGAAATGCATAGCAAGCAGGAAAAATCAATGTCTTTTTTGATATTTTTGCATCCATTCTTCAAGCATTTATATCCAATGAATCCTTTTTCATTGCAAGTAAAACAAATTTTTGAATTCTGCAAGTCTTTTAAAGCGATCATGGTTTTTTGGATGGGATAATTTCTATCAAGCAAGGTGGTAGTGTCATAATCTGACGGAAGTTGTATTATCAAGTCATTTTCCATTTCCCTGAAAAAACTGCGCCAAATCCTCCTTTTGCTGAGTATTTTTTGTTAAAGAATTCTTTAAAGTCGATCCATTTAAACGGATATTTTCTTGTTTCCCATATGAATTCATCTACCTTGTGATTTCCGGTTCTTATATAACTATTTCATCGGTGTGCCAAAACTCTCCACACATATTTGCACTGCCACAGCAATCCATGCAAAGTCCAATGCCAGTTGGATTGCAAGTTTGCACAAAATATTTTTCAAACGAATATTTGCCGAAATACATCGCAAGCAGGAAAAACTAATATCTTTTTTTATATTTTTGCATCCATCCTTCAAACATTGATATCCAATGAAGCCTTTTTCGTTGCAAGTAAAACAAATTTTTGAATCCTGTAAGTCTTTTAAAGCGATCATGGTTTTTTTGATGGGATAATTTCTATCAAGCAAGGTGGTAGTGTCATAATCTGACGGAAATTGTATTATCAAGTCATTTTTCCATTTCCCTGAAAAAACTGCGCCAAATCCTCCTTTCGCTGAGTATCTTTCGCTTTTGTCGAAGAATTCTTTAAAATTGATCCATTCAAATGCATATTCGTATTTTTTTGCTTCCCAAATGAATTTATCTATCTCGTAATTTCCGGTTCTTTTTTTCACGTCGTCATTAATTTCATTGGGATGCATATGCATACACCAATATTGTTCTTCAAAACATGCATTACTATTGCATTCAATGCAAAGGCCAATTCCAGTTGGATTGCAAGTTTTACACAAAATACTTTTCAAACCAATATTTGCTGAAATGCATTTAGAGCATATAAAATCATAATTTTCTTTTAGATTAAAGCATCCGTTTGCTTCACATTTAAAGTTATAGTTGCCTTTTTCGTTGCAATATGAAAAAACTACTGAAACGCTATTGAGGCTTATGTATTCTCGACAAATATGGATTGAATATCCATATTCTTTGCATGAACAATTTAATGAATTAGTCATTTTCGAATTTTTATCAAATTCAAAATGAATTTTGCAAGCTAAAACACCATCAATTCAATTTATACGTAGTTTTGGAAACCCAATTGAAATCAAATTCCGGATCGACAGAATGTACATCGGATATGCTTTGTCGATCTAAATAAAAAGTAGTCAATCAAATGCTTTCTTTGAAAGTTTATTTGTACATAACGATAATCTCTGAGATTTGTTTGTTTCTAACGCTAACGCTAATAGAAATTCTACTCTAGGTTTACTAGCATAGCAGTAGCGGTAGTACGATCCAAATTTATCAAAATTCCAGAGATTGGATCTTTAATAAAGTACGTACTGCCTATATTATCCTTCTTGTACATGTATAATACCGTATATCCCCAAAAGTTGTACGTACCATTTATAACTAATAAATATTTTCGTCTTCACTAATTTCACTATCACTGTCTTTAAGATTAATATCTTAGCTTTTGTCAAAGTATAGAAGGATCAATTTCTTCCCAGACTAAGTAAAGAGAACATTTATTTTGCCCAGTTGGTAGATACGTAAATTTCGAATCTGATTATTAAAAAGAAATTAGCATGATTTAAATAATAAAAATAATCGAATTATATCGATATGATCCCACAACTGATTTACTTTGGCCAAATCTAAATCGGTATGGAGTCAAATCAACCGATTTTTTTAATCGAAACATCGAAGTTGAAATGTAAACCTTATTGTTTTTATTCTTTACTGCATCTATTTTATGGCACCAATACAAGAAGAGAGTTTAGATTATTTTTCAATATGGTCAAGCATTTCTAGTCTCATTTTCAATCTCAATTTGCTCTATAAACATCCCTTTAAGAAAGTTTTTCTGGGAAATGTTTACCGATTGCAGATGTTAGTTTTGTTTCATTAACAAAATAGACCACCCTTCCCATTGTATGTATTGCACATCACAAAGTACAAAACTTTTCAGTAACGTTCGTGATATAATTTTAGTAACTAACTTATAACATAAATAAACAACTGTTTCTATATTTCTCGACAAGCGTTATCACGTGTGAAATGTGGTATAACTTACATAAATTTCAATCAAAGAAAATTTTCGTTATATTTGCATAGTTAACCTTTTATTATATAATATTGTTGTCAAGAGTCTATGTATAACTTTTTACATTTTTTCCTTTTTGCATGTGGATAAAGAAAGAAATTTAATTTATCGAATTTTCTAATGGGATCCCCTTATCGTTGTAAAACGTCAGAATCAAGGATCTTTATTCTTGAGAAAACAGAAAAACTAATTGTTTTTCAAGTCCAAGAATAAAAGCTTCCATCATATATTTTTACTTTGAAATATTAGGATATAAATGCGAATTTCTCCATGCATAATTTCTTAAACATAAGAAAGTTCAATTCGTTGGCATTGAAAGATCTCTTTGCGTTATAATATATTAAATAAAGAACGATTACATAAATTTAATTCAAGTTATTGATTTGCATCATAAATTAATATTTTTATTCTCTAAATGCGTGGCATCACCCGCCTTGTAAAAGCAAGCTAGACTGGATGATTCAAAAATTACGTGTTTGATCTACATGTATAATAAAAAATAGCGATGAAAATTTTTTATCATTTGTCTATTCAAAAATAAAGTCACGAAGATTAGTCGTGATCAGAACTTTATACAAAGCTTACTTCTCTCATAATCGCGAGGATTGGCTTGCAGCCGAAAAATTAATCAAGTGAATTTTAATTCGCCGCTACGCAATTAGGGCTATATTCTTGTTGACGAGATTGAAATAGGAGCTTTAAATTAAATCAAAACGGCAGATGAGAATCTTTATCAAAGAGATAGTTATAAATCAAAAATTGAGAACTTTACCATTTGATATACACTTTGTTTTCAATTTTACTTTACAATCATCGAAGTAAAAAAATACGTAACATTCTCTTAATTATGGCAATAGCTCGTGACTTAAGAATCACACGATGAAATCCTAATATATAAACATTCAAAATAACTTTTGCTGTTAGTCAATAGGAGTAGCATCAAATCCATGGCTTTTTACGTTTTGACCAAATACGTAATTACAAGTTATTTTTATCATTGTGAAACGAAAATTTATTTTAAAAAGTTAATTACAATAAAATCAGATTTCTATGCGTCTATCTAACTAACCCAGAAATAAGAACGCCATAAAATTTATCTATGTATCCGTAATAATAAAAAAAAATACGCGTCAAAGATTCAATAACGATTTGACGAAAAGATCAAAAAAAGCATTAACGATTGTGTCTATACTTTTTTTTTAAAGTGGGAGCAATCATCTTGCAGCTGTTGATCTTAATATCGAGAAATACAACAGAATAATTGACGAGAAAAAGCGATTTAACATCTAAAACCGTCGATTATCTAATACGTAAAATAAAGTGTGTTCGAACAGTATGGAGAACAGCTTAAAATAATAATGCTAACGAAAAAAAAAGAATAAAAATACGAATAGTAGTAAATGAAAGTCGAGAAATTTGTTACGATAAAGTATTTCAAGAGTTATGAGCTGTTTTGCTAGCAAGAAATGGTCACTGAAAGGTGCGAACCATCCAAAGTTCCCAGTTTGTATTGTTGAAGTCTATTTTGTGATCTGGGAGATATTTTGTTTCCGTAATAACTGAATGACCCCACCAGAGGTACATTAGGCGCGAGGAAGGAAACTAATTGAGAGAATCGATCGAATTCTCTTGCAAAATCATCTTCGGTTGATATTTTTAATCGTAACAAGAAACGAAGTTTTGTTTTTCAATCAAAACACACGAATGAAATCATCATTGATTGGATGCCGTAAAGATATGATATAAAGAAGTCGAATAAATCATCTCACACACATATGTTGATTCGGAAAGAGTTAATACTAAAAAGGGTCAAAGGACTGACTGTCATTCACAAGTAAAAATGTATGGCATACTTTGATAAGAATGTTTATGAGAAGAGACACGAAATGTTCACGAATGTGAAAAGTTGAATCTTACAAAAAAATATGAAGTCTTATGGTGATGGGTAGTTTCTTCTACATTATCATTAAATGGTTGTTTGACGTGGAAACACTACCAAAGAACAAAAGTAAAAAATGTTCTTAAAAGACTCCTGATATAGAGACGCAATTTTCAAAAGATGATGTATGTTACTCAATAAATTTACTATTATTATTATTGACAATATAAAATTATTATAAAATTATTTATTTAGATCTAATTATCTAAATTCCATTATTCTGATCGTGTTAGATAAATCGATTATTGTCAGACGATCACATTTTAATTAATTTCTTTTGAATATTCGATATTTTTATTGTTTAATTGTATTGGCAAAAAATAGTAGGAAAGTACACGTATTAACTTGATACACTAGTGGGAATCAATCAATATTCTGCCACGCGACCTTTTGACGCCACATTTTCAAGTTTTTACATTCTCTAACTCTCGTTTCTCTCGCTTTTCTCACTACGTATACGTGTGTCTATAATAATAAAGCATAATAATTAAGTGTTCCTCATTCACCATGTGTTCCTGCATGCACAATAAACAAACAAAAACCAAATCGAAAAATTTTATCTGTATTTTTTTATATCGACTGCTTTAATCTCGTTGTGGCTTCATCTCTTGCATTTTTTCTCGCATCAAATTATGCCTCAGTTTCTCTTTTCTCTCAATTTGAAAACTTACTTTCCCGAATACCATTAATCAAAACCCACGTATGTTGCATTCATTGGCTCGATTCTTGATATTATAAATTCGGCATATATGCATCAAAATAAGTGCCATTGTATTTCTCATAATAACAAACAATAAACCCTGTGAATATCGTCGTCATTTTACATCAACAATAAATTAAGCCAAATACATCAACAATAAATTAAGCCAAAAAATGTAATTATCGTTATGTACCCCGTACAACCCCACGCGACTTCTTCCTACCACTTACACTGCATTATCTAGAATCATGTTCATACTGTGTCGACGTAAAAATAGCTCGTGATTCGTGTAGACATAATCTAATTCATTGTTCTCTATATCGAAACAAACAGTAATTATTTTGTCTTTTGCCAAAAGATTGGTATTCACGCACGGCCCGCTATTATTTTATAATTACGCGACATTAATTGGAAATATATATTCTTTTTCTAATAATTTATTTTCGGTTAAATTATTTCTCTCTCGCTCTATGTGTGTCTCTCTGTGTGTGGATATGGTATAGCATTCAGATGGCTGATTTAACGTGTTCGATCTCTAATGGTGTTTACGAAAATTGCTCATTGGTTGACCCGAATTAGAATCATTTGTGTATTCACAAAAAGGCTGAGAATCATTATTTAGGAGAAACACTACTTTAGCCTTTAAAACTTGATACATACGTATGAGTGGTAGTTGTCAAAGTAATACCTCGCAGCCAATGCAGGGACAATTGGGTATATCAACGTGATGCGAATGATGATTTTCCCACAGCGCAGTTATAGTGTAAATATTGACATTAATTGCATTATGCAGTCTGCAATCAAGTAGCCCCTCGCAATTGTTTCTCCCATTGTACTTCGAAATGATCGACGGCGCCGACAGATCACCACAACATGTCTATTACATGTACATGTACTATTTAAAACTGTTATCATTATTAACGTTAAATACTAGATATATACGTATATACTAAGTGATTAAAGTCTACAAATCTTATTTTCCTTGGGCAATAAGGGGTATTAAATAAACTTCAAGGCGTTGCTCGAGCATTTCAGTTAAAAACGTTCCAATTATACAAACAAAATGACAAATTACCCCGCTGTACTACCAAAAGAACCATATCTATTGTTATTCCAAAAATACCCTGCTGTACACAAACAATAGAATTTCCAACAATACTAGAAACGTTCAAAGTCATGCAGCAAAAAAATTAAGTTCGAAAACTAACAATACGTACGTACATATTTTGCACTTTTGCACCCATCCAATTCATTAATTTACAATTATTTAATACAATCGTATCTAGGAAATAACGCCGATTACTTTTCAAGACTTGAAAATCTTGAATTCGCTGAGCACCAACTACCAAAAAATTCTTCCATCTCGTATTTCATCTTCGTTAATTACTTAATATCCTTCATATTGAATAATCAATCCAAAAATATAAAACCACACTCAACTTATTGTGCATTCACTTTTGCATTATTGCTCAGGCTTTAGGTTTTTTTTCTTTACGTACTCTTAAATAATACTTTGTTGTTTTATCAGCTCAGATTATTGCTGACTTTGAATAATATTTTCTCTTCTTTTTGTTCATTGTTGCAATTATTTTTTAAATTCATTTTTTGGTTATATTGCCGACTATTCTTGATTAATTCTGTTATGGTCTTTTTCCAATTACTTAATAAAACCCTTGCAGTTTTCTTTTCTATATTTTAATCTTTCTGGTATCAATTTTATTCCAATTTAATGATAATTTTGGCATAACAATTTTCTAGTAATTTTTATTTATGAAATGTCTATTTTTGCTAATTAATTTTACTATTGCGAGTTTTGCTGGCCCGTAATATCTGTTTTGCTAAAGAAATGATTTTGTAAAGTGTCGGGTATCCGATTTGAAAAGATATCATATGAATTAACGTTAAATTTCAAACGCTATAACTCGATGAGCATCGCTCCGATCCAAATGAAACATCCATCAAAAATGTTTCCTTCAACGAGACAAATACAACGAACTATAAATTGTTGAATTTGAATAACTGGTTGTTGAGAAATCTGGTAGCAATAAATTCTTTAAATATCAATAATCAAATTTCGAGGGGATTGCTAATACTCAGCACTTTCCATTAATATACGCAAGTAATCCCCATTACATTGATACCTGAAACTTTGGTATGAAGGAAATTTTTAACTGTATTCCATATCTCTAGATTAGATCACCGATATTGATACGTATTAAGTATTGGTAGTCAAATCGGAAGGTTCCATTCCTTAGTTCAAAATTTCAAAAAATTTGTTTTATTGTTTTATAAAGCGAATTTATAATAGTCCAAAATTTTTGATGCCGGTTTATATGTCGTCCAATTTATTGAACGTCTGGTTTATTGAGAATTACTAAAATTATTGAATAAAAAGTAAATACCTATATACAGTACGTATTGTAATCAACATTATTATATTGAATATAATATATCTATATCTATATCTATATATTAAAAGAAAAAAACCTACTAATAAACAATCACTTGAGAAATAAATTTAATTAGCCTTAAACTTTCTTTTCACAAAAAAATTTACAATAAAAAATCAATATCAAATAACTTAAAAAAGACAGATTAAATTAAATGAGTAACTAATACAATACTTAAACAAATCAAATAAGAATTTATCACTATAAAATTTTTTAAAACAATAAAAATTAATAAATTTTAAACATTTAATAGCTGAGCATAAGAATTTAAAAACAAATACAAAAAATTTTAATAAATTAATAACAAAACTTATTTTAAAAATTAAAATAATATTAATTATAAAAATTTCTTTATAATGAGAATGTAGATTTTATCAATTTTAATTATGAAACTTTTTATAATCAATACTTATTAATAAAATAAATATTTTCTTAGAGAAATGATAATTTATTATAGAAAATATATATATTGGCAATTAAAAGAAATACAACAGCATCAAAATTTATTAATAAACATAATAAAATATGTATTTTTCTCTTTATATAAGTTTTCAATTTATTACGAACATGCAAACAATAATTCATATTTTAACATGTATTTAGTTTGTAATTAGAAATCTTGTGGTTTTAATTTGAGCTTTTTAAAAGTACGAAAGTTTCCGTGAACTTATCTTTTAAAGCTCGAACCCTAACTTCTGACAAACATCATTACATTTATGATTTGCTAAGAAACACTCATCGATGCCTTTCTTTCCGAGATTCGTTCTCCCGAACCTTAAAGGGTCCGTGCAGTGTATCGCTGGATCTGTTAATAAGAATTGATCGGAGAGTTCTGTTCCTTGTAGATCATAAACCACCAAATAACCTCCTGTAAATTTATATGTGAAATGGGCAAATGCCTCAAGGGTGGCACGAAATTCTGTAATCACTCCGCTGTTCACGTTAAATCGTTTAAAATCCGCGCTGGGGAGAATCGGTTCTACGGTGTGGCATTGAGTATCGGTACGGCGCACGAGTTTTACTTGGAGGAATTCCACTTTCTTATCGACGCCGACTCGTGCAGCAGCCGAGTTGAATTCTTTTGCAAGGAAACAGGAAATAGTGGAGACTTCAATCGCCTCGAGGTACCGTTCCATAGAGTTCGCTTGTCGCCCAAGCTCGAGGTATTCTTTCATAATAACAGTTGCATTCGGTTCATGAGCAACATCGAGAGCATAATATGCGTATCGTTCGGCACCGACAGAGAATGGTTTCGGTGCGCGTTTGTAAGTGTATTTTTGGGTAATGATATTGCTTTTCTTGAAGTGTCTCGGGTTCATAATGTCGTCCAAACTTTCACAAGAATGATAATGCAAAAGTACCCCAGTTTCGACCGGTAACAAGAACCATGCGGGTTTGCTTATATCTATTTCGAGATCCTTTCGTCGATTTTGCATACCTTCCGCCATGGTGCTAGTTATTGTGACGGAAGAAGTGATGGCCGAACAGGTAGCATTGAAGAATTTTGTGCATAATGCTTCCGGATTCCCGCCGTCAATATTAAGATCAAACTCTGGGAACTCACCAATTATGCTGTGGAATACTCGGAGCATCTCATCGGTTAAATTTGTAATCTTCCCGAAATAGTAAAAAATCTGTGCCGATCGCATTCTCTCTAACACGCTTTCTGCGGTTAGACCATTTGGGTCACCTCTGGGATATTCATCTTGGCCAGTGTAGAAACGAACACCGTGTGGTGGAGCGTCACCCACGTGGAGAATAATTCGAGTGGTGTGGGTCCACTTTATTTTATCAACGGCTGCGTCAAGACCACCTAGGACGTCTTCCGGAGCATCGCCGCCACCTGTGGCTGATACCTGCTCTGAGATATAGGATTTGAATTTTGAGTACAAGTTGGTGAATTCAAAAATCTGTAAGCGGCTGTCGCCATCGCAGTGGTCACGGTAGCCACAGAAGCTGACCCATAGTTTAATGTTCGGGTTTGTACGACTCATGTGTTCGACCACAGTTATGATACAGTCTTTGGCGGCGTCGATATGGCCCCCCATCGAACCAGTGCAGTCCAGCACGAAGCAAAGGTCAACTTCCATCGAGCGTTTGATATTGTTAAGCGTCCCGGATATCACCCTTTCTCGTAAGTGCTTCGTCTCGGTCTTTAACGTGAGGTTAATAGGACTCATGTAACGAACGTCACCAGCTTCTGCGGCGTAGCGTTTGAGGCGTGTGCCAACGAGTGTCGAATTATTCAAGCAAGCTGCGAGTTCTCTCTCTTCCTCTTCCTCTTTCTGTTTCTCTCTCTCTTTCTCCATTTCTCTCTCTCGTTTCCTCTCTCTCATTCTCTCTCTTTCCCTCTCTCTCTCCCTCTCTCTCTCCCTTTCTTTTGCTTTCTCTCTCTCTCTCTCTCTTTGCTTTTCTTTTTCTCTTTCTTTCTCTCTCTCCCATTCTTTCTCTTTTTCCCTCTCTCTCGCCCTTTCTTTCTCTCTCTCCCTTTCTTTTTCTTTTTCTCTCTCTCTCGCTCTCTCCCTCTCTCTTTCTTCCTCTTTCATTCTATCTTTCTTCATTTCTTCCTCCTTTTCTCTCCTTATCTCCCTTTCCCTCGCGTTTTCTTTCCTTTTGGCATTGATTTCAAAAAACCAACGGTAAATTGCACGAGGTTTACTAGGTTTGCGGCTGGGTGCGCTATAATCTTCGCTCATGACAAGCAATTTTTGGAAGGCTAAAAGATAGGAATGAGCAAGTCTTTTAATGATGGATGGTCTGAAAGATGACAATGTGACCACTTTTTCACGGACCACTTTTCTCGAACCAAATTTTAATTTGGGAATGTGATAAAGCGTTGTATCCACGTGACCAGCTTCGAAATTTTTACCGTGTGTCCAATTAAAGTCAGGGTAAAGGTAAGGTATTGGGTTAGATGATAAATTTATATGTATAATTGCCTTCTCGACATTTTTTATTAATAACCCAAGATAGGTTGGTTATTGTCAAAAATTTACGCATTAGTTTAATATCTCGTGGGTACAACTCTTTATCGCATTCCCAAATTAGGGCAAATGTATTTATATAAGGGTTGATACACTTTTTTCCTTTTATTAATAACCCAAGATAGGTTGGTTGTTGTCAAAAATTTACGCATCTCTATTAGTTTAATATCACGTGGGTACAACTATTTATCGCATTCCCAAATTAGGGCAAATGTATCTATATCAGGGTTGATACACTTTTTTCCTTTTATTAATAACCCAAGATAGGTTGGTTGTTGTCAAAAATTTACGCATCTCTATT